GCCCAGCTCCCCGGGTTAGCTGGGACCTATAGAATTAGTCTGCTGTCGCCCGTGCGCGCGGATTTTCGGGTTGGCTACCAACCCGAGAGATACCCGTCGTCTGCGCATAGTAATCAGGAGATATGGGTGAATCCATGTGAGATGCCACTGGCCGCTCGGCAGCCGTCGGTTCATAGATCGGACGGCTGGAAAACGCCAGTATGTATCCATCACTGTTTGGATGATTCGGCGATGGATTAGCATCGGGAACATCCGTCTCGCCTCATGCTCTCCATCGCCTCTCGCATATGCATTTGCATCCACTGCTGCTGCCCAAATAGGCTCTCGGTCCCAAGGCAGACTCCTGGTCTGCAATGGCAGGTTGCCCTGCAACAGCACACGGCGATGCAAAGGGTGATGTGGCCTGCAAGGCTTGGTAAAGCTGAGGGTCCATCCTGATGCTTTGGAGTCTGGCCTGCAGGCTATTTGCGCTGACGGCACTCTGCCGAATGCCAAATGGGGTCGCGGCCCTGCTCGCGGGCGCGAATGCAGCGGGTTGTCGCTCCGCAGCGTGCGCAATCTTCATGGCGCCCCACCTGGGGGCGCAGGCAGCGATCGAACCCCGAAGCGCGACCAGGTCGACTGGGGGCAAGGGGACAACGACTGACTTGCCCGCGCTGAGCGCCAGGCGGGAGATCAATTCACATGCGCGGACAAGCTCCTCCAGTAGCGGGAGACGCAGGGGCAGGCGGGGCGCGGCGAGGGCGAGATCGTCGGCGCAAGCCCGCGGCGCGGTGGCGGGGAGGAGCTGGCGGCGCCGGCGAAGTAAGGGGTCCGCGGCGATGGCGAAAAGCAGCGGCGACAGCAGGCTGCCTCGCCGCGCGCCAGCGAGCGCGCGAATCCCTCGAACCTGCGCCCCCCCACGACGATCTGGCAGACGTTGTCGCGGCGCAGTGCCGCGATGAACCTGCCGAGGCACGGCGGGGCGCCGATCCAATTCAACAGCCCCAGCACGAAGGACTGGTAGATCGACAGAAAAGGCGCCCGATAATCGAAGAAAATACAAGCACCATCCTGCGGCGAGCCGCATCTCAGTGCCGATGTCGATGGCGTTGGCCAGAAGCGAGCGCCCGCCGACGCATCCCCGTTGGATCTTGGAGGCCCAGTGCTGGAAGATTGCCCCCATGCGGAAGCGGGCAGCGCTGGCCCAGATGCGGTCGTCGAAGCTGCATGGCCGCGCTAATCGGGCGCACCTGGTCCGCATCGTAGAAATGGCCCGCTGCCTCGCCGTGGCCCGACTCTCTCTTAAGCAGGAGGTGCAGGAGGGAGAAATTGAAGTCGGGAGAGCGGCGGCGCTGGAGCTCCTCGCCGTCGGTGATGGACAAACGAGAATTATCCCAGTGCGACCCTACCTAGGAGTTGGAGCCTCTAGGAAAGCAATATTCGTAGGAGCGGTAAACGCCGTCCTCCTCCTTCTCCTCGTCGTCGTGGCTGTAGCAGTAGCGGTCGTAGTAGTAGTAGTAGTAGTAGCAGCAGCAGCAGCAGCAGCAGCAGCAGCAGTAGTAGTAGTAGTAGTAGTAGTTGTAGTAGTAGTAGTAGTAGTAGTAGTAATAGTAGTAGTGATAGTGGTAGTAGTAGTAGTAGTAGTAGTAGTAGTAGTAGTAGTAGTAGTCGTAGTAGTAGTCGTAGTAATAGTAGTAGTAGTAGTAGTAGTAGTGGTAGTGGTAGTGGAAGTGGTAGTAGTAGTAGTAGTAGTAGTAGTAGTAGTAGTAGTAGTAGTAGTAGTAGTAGTAGTAGTAGTAGTAGTAGTAGTAGTAGTAGTAGTAGTAGTAGTAGTAGTAGTAGCAAAGTAGTAATAGTAGTAATAGTAGCAGTAGTAGTAGTAATAGTAGAAGTAGTAGTAGTAGTAGTAGTAGTAGTAGTAGTAGTAGTAGTGGTAGTAGTAGTAGTAGTAGTAGTAGTAGTAGTAGTAGTAGTAGTAGTAGTAGTAGTAGTAGTAGTAGTAGTAGTAGTAGTAGTAGTAGTAGTAGTAGTAGTAGTAGTAGTAGTAGTAGTAGTAGTAGTAGTAGTAGTAGTAGTAGTAGTAGTAGTAGTAGTATAGTAGTAGTAGTAGTAGTAGTAGTAGTAGTAGTAGTAGTAGTAGTAGTAGTAGTAGTAGTAGTAGTAGTAGTAGTAGTAGTAGTAGTAGTAGTAGTAGTAGTAGTAGTAGTAGTAGTAGTAGTAGTAGTAGTAGTAGTAGTAGTAGTAGTAGTAGTAGTAGCATTAGTCGTAGTAGTAGTAGTAGTAGTAATAGTAGTAGTCGTACTAGCGCCAGAACCGCCGATGCCACGCCGCGAGTGAAGCGGCAGCAGAAGCAGGCTGCAAGTCGCCGAGACAGCAGCAAAAGCAAGCAGGCACGGAGATGAGGGCGGGGCACTGGGGAGTTCTTTACATCTACATCTATATCTAGCCATCGAGGCTAGCTCGGAGCCCGCTGCCTTCGGTGATGGCCGCCTGCTGCAACTCTGCGATCAAAGTCGCTAATGGTCGGCGTCGTCTCTAATCTTTCTGTCGCACATTCCATGAAGAGCAGAGAGGGGGCACCTCTTCCTGTCGAGGGTTGGGCGTCTTCGTGAGCACCGAAACTGCCGCACGCAGTTTTGACAGCCTGGTGTGTTACACGCAGCACCTTGCACAGTCAACCACCGATTCACGGCCGCGATGGAACTGAACGTCTCTGCAGGTTGTTCAACACTGCTTGGAACATTGTCCTCTGCAGGATGCTCAAACCTGCGTGCTGGGTCTCGTGCCTCGCTACTCGAGGTCCGTAAGAATGCCCGCATGACGCAATGCGTTGCTGCACGCTCTTGCGTGGCTCTGCGAGTCACGGAATTGAGGTTGAACGGCAACGAGGATGAAAGGAATTACGACGCGGTGCTGAGCAAATACATGCACACACACACACATGCAGCATGCCCCATGGGTGTTATGTATATATACACATATATTTCCATATATATATATAAGACATTCACGACATGCGGTAATACGTCGGGTTTCATGTCTCCCGACCGGTGCAATGTGCGAAACCGTCGTGAATCATAAGGGCTCAAGCTGCCCCTTTAAGGGCTCAAGATGGCCCACAGACGGACAACATGCATGGAACATACTTGCGCACACACTCACACATGTAAGTATATATATATAGCCGCAGCAATAGTTGATGCTGTGCTGCGCTATGCTATGCTATGCTATGCTGTGCTATGATATGCTATGCTATGCTATGCTATGCTATGCTATGCTATGCTATGCTATGCTGCGCAATACTATGCTGGGCTGGGCTAGGCTAGGCCATGCTATGCTATGCTATGATATGCTGCGCTGTGCTATACTATGCTATGCTATGATACGCTTTTGCTTTGCCTTCGCTTTTGCCTTTGTGTTTGCTTTTGCTTGGCACCCAGGGAACGCAACTGGGGGAACCGCGCGTTTGCTGTTACCTTTGCTATTGCTTTTGCTTGCCTCCCAGGGGACTGGGGGAACCGCCCGGGGCGACTTCCACTGCCCAGCCCCTTTAAGCGAAGCGAGTAAGAACCCTTCTAGGCAGAGCCTAGGTAGGGAAAAAAACGTCATGAAGAACGTCGACGCCCAGCTCGCCAAGCAGCCGGAACGCCTCCGCGGGGATCCCGTCAGGGCCCGGCGACGATGACCCCAGGCGACGATGACCCCACGCCAGAGCTTGTACTGCCTGGTGCCCCGTCTGCTTGCAGTGCGAGTTCTGAGAGCAGCACGTTTCTTATACTGCACATTGTCTCATGGACACGTTGGGTCTGGTATGACGGGCTAGTCCCATCTGAACCAATTAATTGAAGGCCTACCAGCATACCGTGATCACCTTTATTTTCAAGAACAGGTACGCCACGCAATCGGACTGTTTCAAAGAAAGCTTGCTCCATGCCCTTGATCATTGTGTTGCGCCATGAGTCTGTGCAATTCCATGCAACGCTTGTGCGGCTATCCGCTTCCAAGCGACCTGACAACTGCGTCCCGGCTACTCCCATTGCGTTAACCCCTTCGCTGGTAGCGGCCAGTCTTCGCAGAGTGGCATTGTCGCACCTAGCCACGTGCAGCCATCAAGGACCATGCAGAGCCATGTGTGCGTGCTCGCGCCTCGTGCGCTCCACTCATCCTTGAGCAACGCAAGCACTAACCGGGGACCTGTGTGCAGCAACGATCCCAATAGCCTGAAGCGCACTGATCGTAGCAAAACCTCGGGATGTGCCCTGGGTGAACGCGCCAATACCTGTGCATACGACACACGCGTTGCTGAGTCGGTGAACATGACTTTGGCCGCTGCCAAGTGTACTTTCATGACCTCTGCCTCGAATTGACGGGTCTCGCCAATCTTGAGGCATGTTCACGCTCCTGCACCATACAGCCTGCCCGACATGACCAGACTGCCTGCGAACACTATGCGCGTAGCACTCGTACGGTGTCAGTAGTAGTCGTGGCACGGTATCAAAACTCTGGTATCATCGCGCAGTTAGCACCGATCACAGACCCAGTGTAGGTACCTCCGCACCACACGCGCCGCCACCTTACCGCCAGACGCAGTCGTATCGCTCAGTGTGCCACCATGCTCGTGCCACCGCTCGGGAGGACGGAGGGAGGAAGGTGGAGTAGGGAGAAGGACGAGGAGCCCCGAACGAGTCCCTGGAACAAAAAGGCGCGAGCACGCCATCGCCGCCCCGCGAACACTTGCCCGAGGACCGCAGGCTGGAGCCAGCCGCCCCACCCAGCTCGCTGGCGAGGAGCCAGACTTGGTCCCAGGCAAAGGGAGTCTTTCATGCGGGGGTCGCTAAAAACAAAATGCGACAATCCAGCCTGTGGCGCATGGCGCGTGGCAGCCACGTGTTCATATTGTACGATGTGCGCATCCCGCACCAACGACTGCACGAACGCCCATTTTCGAGACCCCCTTTGCAAACGACCCATTCGCCCGAATCTGACAGACCCGACGCCCGCTCTCTCGCGGCGCTCGCCTGGAAGGCGCTGGCCTTCGCCCGGACGACGCTCAGGAGCAGCAGCCACCGCGAGGCAGCCCGGAGCACGGCCCAGCGGCGGCGAACGGGCGCGACTGGCGGTGCCGCCAGGCCTCGCGTCAGGCGCCGATTGGCGGCGCGCACGCGGGGGCAGGGGGATGGGGGAAAGCTTCTTCGAAGGAGGCTGCTTCTTAGAAGGCGCCGGCCCTACATATATAGACAATGCCCGCGCCTTCGAAGCAGCAGGGGTGTTGCTAAGAAGCCTTCCCCTCTCCCCCATACCCCCTCTGCGCGTGGCTGAGATGAAGGAGAAGAAGAACGGCGCAGGTTCCTGAATGATGCACCGCAGGAAGAGCAAGGAAGGATGAGGTGTGACAAGGTACGCCATTCGGCCGCAAAGGTCAGGGGGATGGAAATGCAGAGATTGGAGGATCAAGCTAGGTGCGTAAGCGCCGCATCTAACATCCGGTCCTCCCCCCATCCCGTGACATTGCGAGGATGCTTCCTCTATCCGCGGACGCGCGTCATAGCCGACCTGGTACTTGCGACTCATCGCCTTATAGGCAATCTAGAAAGGCGAGCTGCATATCTAGAAGGAGGCGGAGAAGGAGGTGGCGGCGAGCAGGAGGATGAGCAGGAGGATGAGCAGAAGAAAAAGGAGGAGGACGAGGACGAACAGCAGCAGCATGAACTGGAAAGGAAGGAGCGGAAGAAGCGGGAGGACCAGAGGAAGGCAGAGGAAGGGACATGAAAGGGGCGACACCGATGACAAAGGACTCGGACACCGAAGTGCGGTCTGCGCTGAGGCGAGACTGCCGTTTTGAACGACGGGGGCAAACCGCCGACCCGAAAATGAGGCCCACGCGAGAGGGAACGGGGGGGAAACTACAAACTAGTAGCGGTAACACCACACCTGACATCCGACGTCCTCCACCCGTGCCTTCCCATTGCGTGGTATGCTGTTCTATCCGCCGACTGGGGTGCCCCAGAGGATGTTCAACTTAAAATGGCAGCTGCATGATTTGATTCACTGCTTGCTGCTCAATCGCAAAGGGGGCCTTGTACATCGGAGGAGGAATAGAAGGAGGAGAAAGAGGAGGAGAAGGAGGAAGCGGGGGAGAAGCAGCAAGAGGAAGGAGGAGGGACAGGAGCAAACGGAGTGAGGATTAGGGACCCACCAGGCTGGCCGAATCGTGCAGCCGACGGACGGGAACACGGGCCAACTCATGAGCCGCTATCCCTGCAACCAAAGCGGCAAAAAGCGGGAACGTCCTGATAAAATTCGCCGGCCCGACGGGCCAGAGGCGTGCTAAATTCTCTGGCGATAATTGGAAAATATTTCTAACTCGCGCGCGCGTGGCGGCCACTGGGAAAATACCCCGGCATAGTTCTGGCAAGGTCCCCGGCGAGGTCGGATCACACATGCCGGAACTCCTGGGCGCGGCTTCGGGGCCCCCCGAGCGCCCCAATTGGCGCCAAAAGGATGGCATGCCCCAACGCCTCAAGCCAACAGCGTTTCAAGATTGCCCACGTTGGTTTAAGACGGCCCGAGAAGCGCCCAAGACGCTCCAAGATGCTTCCAAGAGGACGTCGACAGGCCCCGAAGACGGAACAATCATCGATTTTGCATGGGTTTTCGGACGATTTGGGCGGTAGCGCCTTTTCGAACGGCTGGCCGCTCTGGGCAGTCCAAGAAGCCCCAAGATTACTCCAAAACGGCGCAAAAAACGGCACCAGGATGGTCCCAAGAGAGGGCCCAGACGGGGAACCCGAACAGAGATTTCGAGCTCTCGGAAGCCCCCAGAAGCCCCGAAGAGTCCCCCAAGAGGCCCCACCGGGCCGCAAAAGATGCTCCGATGACCCCCAACAAAACCCCAGGAAACCCAAACAGGCCCCCAGGAAGCGCCCCCAAAGCCCCCAGGAGGCTCCCCATAGGCACCAAAACTGCTCCCCAAAGGCTCCCGAGAGCCCTCTGAAGACACCCCAAGAAGCTTCCATGAGGACACTGACCCAAAGCCCAGGCACGTCTCGAAACTCTGCTGGACTTCTCTTGAGCCATCTTGGCACACTCTCTTCGGCAGGGCGCGAGCCACATCTTCAAGGATCTCCTCAAGGACAGTCCTGCCTGCCCCACCGTCCCCGGCGGGTACGAGCGCACCACCATGCAGCCACCGCGATGCGAAATGTCCCGGCGGAGTGGTCGAAGCGACGCAATGACCTCATGAAGGGACGGGCTATCCTGACTTCGGTTGCCGCCCCGCCCTGATGGCGGAAATATCGTGATTATGCATGTAACGCGTGGCTCCGTGCTCGGAATGCCCTGGGCACTCGGAGCTGATCATTCAATTAGCCACTCTGCCTTGGGCCACCCGATAAGAGCCGCACGCGGTGTAACCCACGGCCGCGGGGGTCTCCAAAACCCGGTGCCCGTGGAGCTCGACCGCGGCGTCAGCGGGCGCAGCAGACACCCCGACAACAGAAGAGCTCAACTGAGGCCCAGCCACAGGGTCGAGTCATCAGCGGCCTCGGGGGCAGTCCACAAGGCCGGGGCGCGCGCAGGGGAGAAGCCCTGCAACCAAACATCCGCCCTAGCCCTGAGCTTAGTCTGTCGGGCCGCGGGCGCGCGAGGTCCTCGGAGGAGCTCCACGGGGCCAGCAGGGGTCCGAGCAAGAGCCGAGCACTGCTCACGTGGGGAAACACTGGGACCTCTGATCACCATGTAGTGAAACGTCAGAGTAACGAGCCAGGGAGGGGGAAGCCCCCCATGCGAGCGCCTATGGCGGTTGCTCAACGCATCGCGATAAGTCGCGCGAGACGCGCACCATGGCGCGCATCTTGATTGCAACCGCGCATCGAAAGGCAGCTTTCACATACTTCGTCCAGCGCGTAAGGGGGGCGCGCGTCGTCGCCCCCAGTTCGGCAATCTGTCCGCCCATGCGTTCCCGAGGCAATGCCCCCGCGGGCTGCGGGCGTCGCGGACAAAGTCCACCGCTGGTTCGCGAGCGGGGCGCCAGTGAAAGTCGGGCGGCTGTCGCCCCTCAACATTGCCCCTCCAGCGCGCCGAGCTTGAGCGCGTGCCCGGGCGGAACTCTAGCCGCTGCCCCCTTTCGCCGACGAGGCCAGGTCAGGCCCGACAAGCGATGCTCTCTGGGGCAAGCACAGAGCCGCAAGATGAGCAGCTAACCCAGCACGTGCGCTACTGTTTGCGCAGGTTTTTCGACGGGGCGCATGCGCACCTCGCACTGGCAGCCTGATGTCACCTAGTTGAGGCGCCAACCGCACAGTCCTAATTCTGGCCACGATGGGGTCAGTCCAGAAGCCCGTAAATGCAAGGGAAGACCGCGCTGCTCGGCCATATACCCAATCACCTAAAAGCGTGGCTTCCAGCCCCGTGGAGAGCTTGGGAAGAAAGGTCGGACAACAAATGGACGGCACATGGACGTGCCAATGAGATCCCAACATGGGCCCGCAAGCCCCTGGAACCCGCTTCCGCGCAGGTGCTCGCGCATGTGGTCCAGCACGGGGCCCCGCTGGAGGCCCTCGTCATTGGTCTCATCGCAAAAACTTGTGCAATTAAATAACGCGCCCAAGCGCGGCGCGAGAATCGCCGCGCCAGGGGCGCGAGGAGGCACGTCCCATATCCCCCCAGCCCATATAGCGCGAATGGCGCCTGCAAGCCCGGGATTCCCGATCGCTGGCGCGGCCCCATCTACGCGCGCGCGAAGCATGCGAAGCCGCGCAACTTCGTCGCCATAGCAAACATCTCGCAGGCGCACCGGAATCCCCCGCGACACCTTTGCGCGCCGGTTCGCGCGCCGAAGTCGGAGGGCATGAAACACGTCAACGCGAGACCCTTGATCATCGACAGCTGCGGCGCTAGGCCGCGCGCCCCCGTCGGCGCGATCTGGCGCAGGCCAGACAGCTTCGAGAGGCCCCCGAGCTCCGGCCCATATCTCCTGTCAAGGAACCAATCCCTCAAAGCCTGTCGGGCCCGCTGGAGCCTGCCCAAAAGATCGCGTTGATCCCAGACGAAGTGGAGAAAGCCTCGGGGAGCTCCAACGCGGCGCGATATACGGGGTCGCGCACGCGGCCCCTCGGGGCGGCCAGGCCAGGAAAAGAGCGCGGGAGGGCACGGCAAGAAGAGCACCAGCAGGGCATGCGCGCGATCTAGCGCGTGCTGGCAAACTCCTGAGGCGACGGGCCAGCGTGCGCCATGGCGCGAGGGGGGGGGCACATCGACATGGAATCGGTGATACATCGCCGATAGATCGGCGATAGGCCCGCGATAGTGTATCCGCACGATCCTGCGCGCGTTGGGGTTGTCGGGCCACTACTGGCGATCAGTGGGCGATTGGGGGTCGACGCATGCCCCCCCATATGCGTACCCCCCCCGTATCGTTGAGCCCGACAAATGCAAGGGAGACTGGGCAGGGGAAAGGGAGGGCCAGGGCAGCCCGTGCCAGGCCAGGGCAGGCCAGACCATCGGGGGAGTCGAGGGGGAGGGGGGGAGATAGGCGGGGGCCTTGCGGGGTCGTCGTCGTCGTCGACCAGTCGGCGCGATCGACTGCTAACAATCGAATGCTGACCAACGTCGAGGTCTCATGAGAAGATGAAAGACACGACAGCAAAGATGACAGCCAGCGGCAGAGCAGGCAGCAAGCCAGCTCCTCGAAACTGTCCAGCAGTCCAACCCTCTCCCCGCGGGGACAGGCGGGGAGGGAGGGGGAGGGTAGGACGGGGGGAGCACCCATCGGTCTGAAGGGGTGGGCAGAACCACGAAGTAGCAAGGCGCTGAGAGCAGATTCATCCCATGAAGAGAAGGGGAGAGGGGAGAGACCTGAAATAGGACGCCGCCTCTGGAACATTGCAATCAGAACAGATTAGGTTTCCGCCCGCCTCCTGAAGAGGAGGGAACAGGGAAAGCCGCTCGAGACATGAAACAGGAAGGCGCCTAGAGTAGATTGGAATATTGAATTCCACTCTGACCTACTTTCAACGGCCAATTGGCAAAGGGATGATGCATGAAACGGGGCAACAGGGGTTCGTGGATTGCGGGGTGGGTGGGGGGCACAGACGGAGCGGGAGCAAGACATGGAGAGATGCCAGCAGGACT